CTCACAATTGCGACTTTATTTCTTAGATTTGCGACTTTATTTCTCACAATTGCGAATTTATTTCTCACAATTGTGACTATTTCTCAGAATTACAACTTTATATCTCGCAATTGCAACTTTATTTCTCAGAATTGTGACTTTATATCTCGCAATTGCGACTTTATTTCTCAGAATTGTGACTTTAAATCTTGGAATTGCGACTTTATTTCTCAGAAATGCGAATTTATATCTCGAAATTGCAACTTTATTTCTCAGAATTGCGACTTTATTTCTCAGAATTGTGACTTTATATCTCGCAATTGCGACTTTATTTCTCAGAATTGTGACTTTATTTCTCAGAATTGTGACTTTATATCTCGCAATTGCAACTTTATTTCTCAGAATTGGGACTTTATATCTCGCAATTGCGACTCTATTTCTCACAATTCTGTCTTCATATCTTGCAATTGTGAGATAAAAAGTCGCAATTATTTTGTTTTTTGTTTTTATTCAGTAGCAGGAAACAAGTTTCCATACATTACTCACAATTCACTTACTCAGAACGCATGAAAATGCTACAAAAGTTTGAATGTACCATTTCAGAACTAATTTCACCTGAATTGAAGTCTGAAGTCACTTATGCTCACCAAGGAACCATTTATTTGATAAAAAAAGTATATTAAAAAACAGAAATATTTTGACATACTACAAACAAAAATAACTATTTACTAAAATTAAAATGTATTTAAAAATGTAAGTTATTGCAAAGCTGATTTTTCAGCATCATTACTTCATTCAGTCTTCAGTGTCACATGATCCTTCAGAAATAACTCTAATATGCTGATTTGCTATTCAAGAAACATTTATTATTACTATAAATGCTGAAAATAGTCCTGATTTATATTTTTCATCAGATTTCAGCCATCAGAAGTTTAAAAGAACATAATTTATTTAAATTTTTTTTGAATGTCTTTCCTAAATTTGTTCTGCTGTTGAGTTCCAGTGTGCAAACGATTTATTCTGCATGACGACGTCCCAGATCCAGTTCTCAAACATACGCACCTTTATCGGCCTGCGCCTTCCAGCGCTCTCTGTTCAGAGAAACCTCCTCGCTCCAGTTGGTCTTGAAGTTCTTCAGGTCCACAGTGAGCAGCGAGCAGTTTAGGGATCCACTGCAATCAGAACCAGAGCTGTTGACACTGCTCCTCTTCGAATCTCCAGCAGTAATACTGGTTGAGATGATGGAATAGGACTCGTCATAAATCACAATATTGCAGATACATCGGCAGTAATCACATCCACTAAGCTTCTCTAACATCCCCATATCCACCTAAATGTCCTGCTCTGTTGATCATTATTATGCTGCTGCAGCTGCTTTGTGTCCTTTCTATGAACCTCCGGGCTTATTTAGTTTAACATACATTCTAAGGGAATGGATATAATTCAGTCCTTTATATGCAGAAGATGCAATTTGTTACGCAAAGAAAGTCTGTGCTCTTAAGCTTAGTCAGCAGTGGAAATTCAAATCCTACTTCGAGAATCCAAAGAAACTTTGAAACTTAAATTGTGTTAAAGTGGAGTGAGACCTGTCTGAACTGATGGATCACTTTAAACTGAATTACAAAGATCAGAAGCAGCAGTGCACTTATTCACATTCAGTCTTTTTCTGAACGATCCAACTGAGGTATCTGATATTGGATTTGCAGTAATGACTGCAATAGAACCAGTGAATTGGGTTTCGATACTAAGGAAAGCTATTATTGCGGCCTGAGAAGTAATTTGACTAGTTTGTCTCAATGAGCATTCGTTATCTCTATTCCTGCACCGCAGACGCAGAAGACACAAGACAGACGTCCAGACTCTGACCTGCGAAATCCAGCCAGGCCTGAACTTGTGGCCTCTTCAATGAGCGGCGTGACGATCTTCTCCGTCATGTCCGTCAGAACCGTAAACGTGGGAACGACGATAAAATCAATGAAACCTATAGAAAATGACAAAGAACTTGCTTGTTTTGTTGTACATAATATTTAAAGAAAATATTTGCATGAATGATTCTCCTTTGCATGATCTTCAAAAATAGCCGTGTTTCGGCTATTGTAAGTTTAAAGCTGATGGGTGTCATTGTTTCCCGTTTCCAGCTTAACATGAGTATTGCAGTTAATTTATAGTTTTGCAATTGCAATATTTACATTATATAGCAAGCATTTGTGCCAGCATATGACGGAAAAATAAAAGGTTAACTTTTTGCACTGAGCTCAATTTTAAAAAAAGATATTCAATAAAAATATCCATGTGTTTCAGCTAATAGTATGGTAAGTTTAAAGCTGAAATCTTTTCCCCTTTTCCAGCTTGATACAAGTATTGCAATTAAGCGTGATTATTTTTTTTAAATATTAGTTAGGTAGTGATGATACATTTTTGAATTTTTTGAATAACAATAAAAATAACATTTTGAATATGTTGAATAACAATAAAAAAAAACCAAAAGAAATAACAATAAATAAATAAAAAAAAAGTAAAAAAAAATAATAATATAAAAATATATATAAAAAAAAATAATAATAAAAAAAAAAAAATTATATATATATATATATATATATATATATATATAAAAAATAATAAGAAAAAAATTTAGTGTGTGATTGTGTCACTCACCGATCTGGGACTGGGCCACCATAGTGGACTTACGGTCACACAGAGGGGAGAAAGGTAGACCAAGCTCCGCCTCCTTATCACCCTGCCAACACAAACACATCATTCATATGCATTTCTATACTCATGATTACACAGTATTGTATCAGGGTGGACATTTTCAAATATATAGCACAAATATTAACCAACACAGGAAATATGTGGCACTTTCCACAAACAAGTGTACCAAATAGGCCACAAAACAGAACAGCAAATAGTTAAAGGTGCTGTATTTATTTTATTTTTTTTGATTAAACTAAAGCATAAAATACCATAATATGTTTCACATATTTAGGAAACATGTGAAGTTCACATATCTGTTTCTCCAAAAAAACAATGCTATATTTCTAAGCAGTTATTCTACTTTGTAATGTGATTTCCTTGTCGGATTGTCTGTTTTTGTTTTCGTCTGTGTGATTCCACCACTTGCTGTAAAACACAGCGGATCACAGCTATGGATCCAGCAAACGAACTGGGTCAGAGATCGCAGAAGATACCCTCGGCATTCATCTAATAAGCTCAATGACCAGAGGCATTTTACAACGTGGATAAATCAACTCGTCAACTTACAGTGTAAAGCTTGACGTCTTCCATTAAAAAGGCCAGATTATCAAACTAAATAGTTTGTGGTTTTATTTCCTCTCGGGAATTTCAAAATTAAGACATAAATACAGTTCAAAACCCTAATTTATTTGCTCAAGATTTAAATAGCAAAACCTATTTTGTTAACTAATAATTTATTAACATAATTTGATAAAATGTCATTTGAGACTCTGAAACTTATAAAGCAGTGCCAAAGTGTAGCATATTTGTGGAAAGTGCCACGTACAGCCCAACAGACTCATACATCTTGAAATGGGAGTTAAATGAAATGTTTCTGAGCCACCATAATAACCATTGATATACTCAATATAAGCAATGCCAGCAGTCTGAGGCCTGATACTAGCCGGTCTGAATCCAGCTAAATACTCATGAAATGACACAGTGGACAGTCTGGTCCAGAAAGATTTTTTCTTCATAGTAAATATTCGTAAACATTATTTTGAAGGCAGACTAAAATAAACTGTCAAGCTTTTATGTTCAGCCTGTTATGATTGATCTGCCTCCTGGTGTGTACAGCTGCTGGAACAATACTAGACACACACACACACACACACACAGGAATAGCCCCCATCCTCTAATCTGTCAATCAATCAAAGAATATTTATGAAGCCCACTCTATGGAGAATAGAGCTGTGAATGTGCTTTATTACAGTCACTTTAGTAGCAGATAAACAGACACATGACGGGTAAGATCAGGAGGTAATACAGAGAAAGCAACTCCCTTCCATTGTTCACTTTACAAAGCAACAGAGACAGGCGGACGGGGTCCATTAGTGCACTGGGCCCGTTTTGACAGTCATTAATTATATATAATATATATATCAGGGGCACACCCAAGCCATTTGTGGACTCGCTAATTAATATTAACACTATAGATAACTAGAAATTCCCTTGTTTATTCACCTTGTTTAAATGGGTGGACACAGCCTGTGAGCATCAGTACCCACAAGGCCCGTCTATGTAATAGTTTTTTTCCAGCCACTGTTAGGCTAGTGGCACAGGATATTAAGGAGGGCAAAAAGTATCCTATTCCATGTTTTTACATTTTGTAATGATCAGTGTGTATATATATATATATTTAAATTTTTAGAGTTTCTATTTTTGTATGTGCTATATTATTATTATTTACTATAATGTGTATTTATTCAGTTAGATTATTCTTACAGTCCTTGGTAGTTTAATTGTGATGTGAGATTTATAGTTTCATGTTATTTTATTTTATTTAAAACCTGAGAAACGCACAAGAATTCCAATGTACCTGTACTGAAACGTACCTGTGCAAATGGCAATAAACTTTGAAACTTTGAAACCTGAAACCTTAAAGCATACGTGATAAAATGTAACGTATGTAACTGTCCATCGTCTATTTATTTGCCAAACGATGATCATTTTCTTCAAATCTGCCAGGTGAGCGGATCCACGACAGCTTTGCTCTCTACGTCTGTTGTTATGTATCGTCATCATTCTCCCGCGTTCTCATTGGTTAGCTGGCATGTGGGGTACACAAACGTCGGTTTTAACGAATCAATCCGTTTGAAGAGCAGCAAAGTGGATTTTGCGTTGCTTGTCTCCTCGACATCACGAACCAAACTCTTCCAGTCTCAGCTACAACTACAGAGTTTGAGGGTCTACTGTAAGTAGACGTTGTTCACAGGCAGCCAATGAAGACCATAGACTGGAATTATGCAAATTTGTGAGACCGGAATTACTGGAGACTCGTCTTGGCAAAACTTACAGAACTGTTAAAACTTTGCAGAACTTTTACATTCACGAACAGCTACATTACACAATGCATGACAGGCAGTGTTGGGTAAGTTACTCTAAAAAAGTAATTAATCACTAGTTACTAATTACCTCTTCAACAGTGTAATTAGATTACTGTACTAATTACTCTCTCTAAAAAGTATTTAATTACTAATTACTTTCAAAATCCCATATCAATCTCAACCAGCTGAATAATACAAGGATAGACATGAATCTGTTTTAATTCTTTCAAATAAATACTATAAAATTGCATGAATTATCCTTAAACTGACCAAGGTGGAGAAGGTTACATTATAAAAACATACTTTTTAGCATCAGACATACATTTTAATGTTAAACCCACTATTGTTTTATGTATGATCTCATGACATTTCACACTTTTTTCATACATATTTTACAATAATTCATACGAATTTGTACGAGTGCGGTCGTAATATTTAGACACCTCATAAAATGCATAGGAATCGCTGTGAGATTGGATTGATCTAAACACAGTATTTACCTCAATTACATCAGAAGTAACTGTAATTACAAATAAATTAAGAGTAATCCCTTACTTTACATTTTAAAGGGAAAAGTAATTAAATTAGAGTAACTACTTAGTAATTAGTTACACCCAACACTGATGACAGAGAATATGTGAAAAAGCTTTCTAACAAAATTTTTGTATTATAAAATACGTGTATACGACATTACTGTGATGTGTAAAAGATGAGCTAAGTGCTGTTCGCATGATCACGCCAAAGTATAATTTCGGGACCTGCATTCGATAGGGCCGTGAAAGCCGGTTATGTTCAGATGTGAACAATCTCAAATGACACATTTCTCCACATGCTCTCGTTTCTGCAGCCTATGATAACTCTGGCGCAGGCTTGCGTGTGATTGGATGAAAGGGCAATCAGAAGAGAACAGGAAGCGAAAGCGAGAGAGGATTAAAATAGTGCAAGATGAGATTCGTCTCACACATACGTACAAGCGCATACACCTGGCGAACTGATCTGAAGAACAAACATGAGTCAAACCTGTCGGAAAAACTCCTCCAGCAGTGACGTGGTCCAGCGATGGTGCAGATCCCAGTTCTTGGCTGGATGACTGATGTCGGCCGTGTGTAAGAGCAGAGACAGAGCCTTGGGTTTATCAATTCTGGGTAAAGAAAAAACACCAATCCGAATGGTAAATACGTTTCTGTTCTGACACATGACAATGAGATTACACGGAGAACAAATTTAGCTTTTTAGATGTTTCTCCTGAGAAAAAGTCCCCAGTAATCTCTCTAGTTTCAGAAGATACCTGAAAAACACAGCAGAAAGTCTTTAATCAAAAGATCAACATGAACGAATCTTTTTCCGAGTCATTTGGTTCATTCAACGAACGAATTGACTCGGAAAAAGATTTGTTCATTTTGATGAACGAGTTCGAACAGGAGAGTCACGAACGTGCATCGCGGTGCAGAGCATATTGAGCTTATAAAACTTAAACTTTCTTATTTATTTATTAAATGAGCGATTGTTTAGCTTGATAAGACCCTTATTCATCGTCTGGAATCGTTTAAAGCCCTTTGAACAGTTTGCAGTTCGTACTGAAACTCATTTGGACCTTGAACCGTTTGGTTCCCACTGAAGTCCATTATACGGAGAAAATCCTGGAATGTTTTCATCAAAAACCTTAATTTCTTTTCGACTGAAGAAAGAAAGACGTGGACATCTTGGATGACATGGGGGTGAGTAAATTATCAGCAAAAGTTTTTTGAAAAGTGAACTACTCCTTTAGTGAACTACTGGGGAGACACAACCAAAGCAAAAGGTGACAGGACAACAGAGAAGCAGGTCAGATGTGTGTTTGTCAAGGTTTCTCACCCCTCGGGCTGCTGGAGGAAATTCTTCATGGCTTTGACCTGCTGGAAGTGGCAGGACATGTCAGTGGCCAGAACCATCTCGACCACGAGCGCCCTGAGCTCTCTAAAAACACAAGCACACAAAACACCTGCACTGAGTCTCCTCCAGTGGTGGAGGAAGTACTGAATCTCAGTACTTAAGTAAAAGTACAAATAACCAGATAAATATGTACTTTAGTAAAAGTAGAAGTAACACAATGACAACCATACTTAAGTAAAAAGTAAAAAGTACCTGATTTTAAATGTACTTTAAGTATTAAAAGAAAAAGTACTTGCATAACAATTGATTCTCTTAATGACTATTTTCTAATGATTAATAAAACATTTAATTCTGACTCTATAATGATGTTCAATAATTATGGAAAAAAAATGTCACCATTTCTGAAACAAGCTTGCAATTAGGCAATATAAACCATGCTTATCCTTACTATATGTTAATAACTATGTTTGGCAGTAAACGCGATTAATTTATGGTGTAATTCTGAACCTCTTGGCTTGCCATAATCCCAACCAAACGTATATTACACACGATGTGTTTCCTATGCACGTAAAAACACATTTTTGCGTATAAATTGCACGATAAACACACTGCGTGCGAGACGCATTTAGTTGATGTATCTATGGCAACCAAACGTCACTGGTGAGACAAACGTGCAACGAACGGATGGTCAGATTACGTTTTGGCCGGGGAAAAACTGATCAGAAAATGTAATGAAAATGTAACAGAAGTTGTAGAAATGTAGTGGAGTAGAAAGTAGAATAATTGCTGCAAAATGTAACGAAGTAAAAGTAAAAAGTATGCACTATTTATTCTACTTAAGTAAAGATACGTGAAAAATGTACTTAAGTAAAGTAATAAAGTATTTGTACTTCGTTACATTCCACCACTGAGTCTCCTCACCGCTTCAAAGTGTGACTGGTAACCATTTCTTTCTGAATGAGAAATAAATCATTTCCATCACTGTCTTGCTGTAAAACTTCACAGGACTTCAGACTTTCTTTATATGTTGCGTTTAGTTTAAAATAGCACAGTGAGAATGTAAAAAAAAAAACACTTTTAGCACTTTTTGGGACAGAATTTCTAAAGAGGGAATATTAGCCCAAAAATTGGGAGTGGAAAGTATAAAAATCAACCTCTGGTACATAAAAGTAGCCATAGTTGAAGATACACCCAGCTAAGACATACTGTATCATGATCAGTGTTGTAATTGTGTAACTAGTTACTAAGTAATTACAGTAACTAAGTAATTAGTTACTGTAATTTAATTACTTTTCCCTTGAAAATGTAAAGTAAGGGATTACTCGTCATTTATCTGTAATTTAATTACAGTTACTTCTGATGTAATTGAGGTAAATACTGTATAGATCAATCCGATCTCACAGCGATTCGTATGCATTTCATGAGGTGTCTAAATATTACGACCGCACTCGTACAAATTCGTATGAATTATTGTAAAATATGTATGAAAAAAGTGTGAAATGTCATGAGATCAGACATAAAACATAAAAATGTATGTCTGATGTTAAAATGTTTGTTTTTATAATGTAACCTTCTCCACCTTGGCCTGTTTAAGGATAATTCATGCAATTTTATTGTATTTATGTGAAAGAATTAAAACAGATTCATGTCTATCCTTGTATTATTCAGCTGGTTGAGATTGATATGGGATTTTGAAAGTAAAAGTAATTAAATACTTTTTAGAGAGAGTAATTAGTACAGTAATCTAATTACACTGTTGAAGAGGTAATAAGTAACTAGTAATTAATTACTTTTTTAGAGTAACTTACCCAACACTGATCATGATATTGCAGTTACAGAGTATTGATGTCAAACTGTCAGTTTGTCTGTTCTCTGGACATCAGAGAACAGGATTTCATCTTTTAATATTATTTCATTATTAAATATTATGCATCTGTGTTATTATTCTTCATTAATATTGTATTATCTTATGGAGTTTCAAAAGCATGAGTAATGAGGAAAACGTATAGAATGATGGATGAGAAATGGTGCTGTACCTCCAGTCATCTTTGGAGAGGTTGTACAGGATGTTCATCTCGTCGTCGTCCTGAAGCAGTCGATACGCAGCGCTGACGTGATGACTCTCCAGAACAGAGCGGTCGTTGTACAGGATGGCTGTGTCCGACCTGAAGGAACGAGTGAAAACTCAATACACACAATTTTCCTTTTTCTATACAACAAATAACCCTGAAAAAAATGTGTTATGGTTTCCACAAAAAATATGAAGCAGCACAACTGTTTTTCAACATTAAAATTGTCACAAAAATAAATAAATTCACAATATTATTGTTTCACTGTGTTTTTGGTCAAATAAAAGCAGGCTTTGAAAGAGACTTCTTTTAACCCCTTAACGTCCGAATTTATATAGCTGTATATAAAAAAATGTTTTATGTGTGTTTTTGTAGTAAATAATGTTGAGATTATCAATTTCACTTTTGCACAAAAAAAAAAAAAAAAAAGAAATTTTGGTATGTTGCAAATCTGCAACAACGGGCATAATGGTCAATTTGGTATGTTGCAAATGTTGCAAATGTTCCTGACCGGAGAAATCCTCGTGCGTAAACAGGAAATAAGTCCGTCACTTTGAAACAAGTGCTTGTCGAAGGTCCTAGGTCCGTAGTGAATATGCACAAACCGGCATTGGGGGAATGCAGACGTTATCTCGGCTGGTTGACTGAGTCAAATGGTTTGTTGCATATTTGCGACAGTGGGCGTTAAGGGGTTAAAAACATTTTGTGTAGTCTTATCAACTTCTTACAAAAGTACTTAAACCCGCAAACCAATTCACTGACACAAGGAAACCATGCAGGGGAGAAAGAAAACACTGTGTTTTTGTAATTTGTCCCAGGTCAGGTTTTGGTCAGAAATGTCATCTTTCTCCATCTTTCATTCAGCCCGGCTTATGTTGAGGTTTTGTGACGGTCTGATGGATGACTCACACAGTTCTCTCATGCGTTACCTGGTCTGGATGTGGAAGTTGTTTGTGGTCCCGGTGTGTTCGTAGTCGTGGACGGCAGCGGCGAAAAGCATCGCAAAAATCTCCAACTCCGTCATCCAGTGCTGGAGAGGAAAGAAACATCACGCATGAGAGCTCTTCAACATCTCATTTCTCGGTAAAGAGCAAACCGAGACCTCTGCTGAAAGGACCACCTTCTAAGATGTTTTCCTGACACAAAAAAAGCCTAGTAAAGATCTCAAACTGTGGTTAGATTTGAGTGAACTATTCCTTTAAGAGAAAATAATATCAATTTTTCTTTTTTGTTACTACAACTGCCTTAGAAATACAGTACAAAAGTTTGGAAATATTATTTTTTATGTTTTTGAAAGAAGTCTCTAATGCTCATCAAGCCTGCATGTATTTAAATTTTTAAATAATGGATTTCTATCGTAATATGTAATTTATTTTTCATCAGCCATCAACCTTCAGAAATCATTTTTAATGCTGATTTATTATCAATGTTGGAAACATTTTTGAGCTGCTTAAAACATTTTTTTTATAACCTGTGATACTTTTTGTCAGGATTTTTTGAGGAATAAAAGTAAAAAAAAAAAAAGAATAGCATTTATTTAAAAATAGAAAGCTTATGTAACAATATACACTAAAGTTAAAAAGTTTAAGGGCCTGTATTTTTTTTCTTTTTGTAAAGAAATTAAAAAATTTATTCAGCAAGGATGTGTTAAATTGATAAAAGGTTATAGTGAATATTAATATTGTTCGAAAATATTTCTATTTTGAATAAATGCTGTTCATTTATATAAAATGCTGTTCAATAAATGATTCATCAATGAATCCTGAAGAAAGTCTCACAGGCTCCAAAAAATATTAAGCAGCTCAACTGTTTAATAACATTAATAACTGAGTAACAGATCAGCATATTAGAATGATTTTTGGAGGATCACATGACACTAAAGAAAGCTTTATATTAAATAGAAAAGCATAAGAGACTTCTTTCAGAAACATAACATTTGAGATGAAGTTGCAAAATTGCCACTTCATATTTTTTTTTATGGAATATTGCAGTATTTGTTAAAAATGATGTATCCGTGCACATCATTATTAGGGCCCAAGCCCTGAAAGGGCGAAGGCCCTATTGTTTTCCTTAGGATTATTCTTTTCTATTATTAGGGCCCAAGCCCTGAAAGGGCGAAGGCCCTATTGTTTTCCTTGCGATTATTTTTCTTCTCTATTATTATTATAATAATTATTATTTTACTACCTTTTGGGCACTTTTGGGGCCCTTAACGTGCTCGAAAACTCTTGAAACTTTGCACACGGGTCAGAACCCGCGGCCATCAGAGCCGGGCTGAAGCTGGTACCTGGGCGTGGCAGGGGGGCTCGTCAGCGCCCCCTGGAACGGGGTCCGAACACTCGGTCCATAACTCAAACACGCTTGCATGTAATAATATGAAACTCGGTACACATGTTGATCTCATCGTTTCATCTATACCTCGCGCTCTTACTTTTTACCCCAGCCCAACAGGAAGTCGGCTATTGAGGTTTGTTTGTAAAACGCTCGCAATGGTATTTGAAATACTCCTCCTAGAGCTTTGATCCACATTCGACGAAACTCGGTCAGCGTGAAGTCAAGACATTGAGGATGAAAGTTTGCGAGGGGATTTTTGATATCTCGAACGGTTTGTCCGTGGCGAGGAAACGAAATCATGGCGAGAAACGTGAAACAGGAAGTGTGTTATAACTTCAGCATACATTAACTGATCTTGATGAAACTTCAGCAGTGTGCTCGCTGTAAGAGGACGATCACATGGATGTGACTATTGTGAGTAAAAGTTATAGCGCCACCAACTGGCAGCAGGAAGTGTGTCACTTTCAAAATGCTTTGAAATCACCCTTTTATTTTTACCCGATTTGCTTCAAACTTCATCTGTATAATGTAAACATACGGCAGATGTAGACCTGTGAATGGATTCTTGATATCTTTGAAACTGTTGCCGTGGCGACGCATCAAACTTTACCCTTCTTTTAGGATGCTTTTAGGATGCTTTTGAGACCCTTAGCATGCTTCAAATTGCATGAAACTCGACAGACACATCACATTTATTAGCCAGTAGACATGTGCAAAGTTGCAGAAACGGGCGTGGTGAGGGCTCAGTAGCGCCACCTTTTGACAAAAGTGGGGTGGTTAGTTTTAACTAGAGTTACAAAAATTGGTATGTATATTGTACTCCTCGAGCCGGACAACTTTCTAATTGACACTTATTAGCTAGGACCCACAGAAACTCAGATATTTTTGTTTGAATATGGCCACTCTGAGCCTTTGGCTGGCTGGCTGGCTGTCTGTGTGTGTGTGTGTGTGTGCAGGGGGAGGGGCTTAACCATTTCACTGCTGTGTGTATGACCTGCATAAAGAAAATACATTTCTCAAGCCTGGTATTTTTTAAATAAGTTTTTATTTTTATTTTTTTATAAGTAAAGGCATATAACTAGTTTAATTGTAGTGAATTGACAATAGTTTTATATAATTAGTTTATTAATCAGATTAACTTGGTCAATAAACTTGGTCTGAAAATTTGGTCCATAAATCAAACACACTTGCATGTAATAATATGAAACTTGGTACACATATAGATCTCATCGTTTCATATATACTTCACACTCTTACTTTTTACCCCAGCCCAACAGGAAGTTGGCTATTTAGGGTTGTGTTTAAAACACATGCAATGTAATTTAAATTATTGCTCCTAGAGCACTGAACCAAATTCGACGAAACTCGATCAGCGTGAAGTCAAGACATTAAGGATGAAAAAGTGCCACGGGATTTTTGATATCTCGAACGGTTTGGCCGTGGCGAGGAAACGAAATTATGGCGAGAAACATGGAACAGGATGTGTGTTATAACTTCAGCATACATTAACTGATCTTGATGAAACTTCAGCAGTGTTTTCGCTGTAAGAGACCGATCACATGGATGTGACTATTGTGAGTCAAAGTTATAGCGCCACCAACTGGCAGCAGGAAGTGTGTCACTTTCAAAATGCCGTGGCAACGAAACAAACTTTAACATTATTTTTTGATGCTTTTGGGACTCTTAGCTTGCTTGAAATTGCTTGAAACTCAACAGATACATCACATTTATTAGCCAATAGACATGTGCAACTATGGCAAAAGATTAAAGTAATGTCAAAAAAGTAAACACTAAAAGCCTCATATCTTCTAAAAATGTAATTATACATCATTTGTTTCTAAATTAAATTATACAAATATTATAACTTCCCCAATTTTTCCTTTTTTTCATTTAAGAATTGTGTTTACGTTCAAAAACAGCCAGAATTGTTGTAAAATTCATAAAAAAATAATAATCTGAGTCATACGTAGTGCTATACTGCCCTCTTGTGTTCAATATCAGGTAGGCCTATTGTGTATATTCCCACCGGTTAATCAACGTGTGACTCCGCTGGGACTTGGGAGCTTTTAAATCGCTTACTTAAAACCGAAAGTCAAAATACGGATGTCCGCACAAGACATTAATGGTGTGGAGTAGAGCGAGCATTTTAAATAAATTCCTATTAAGTAGGATTGAACTAAACAGAAAGAATGTTCACTCTGTTCTGCTGGTTCCTCGCTGGTGGATCATATGATTACTTTGTCATAATCTATGACAAAAATGCTATTATAAACCATATTAATAATAGATAATACACATTGCTCTTATTTTTGAAAATACATTCATGAAAAACAAGATAACAAAAATCATTAAAAAAAATATAGCCATGGCTGCTATAAAGCAACATATAATTGAAAGGCAATTAATAATCTGTCATTACGTCACTGCATTATGATATTACGGCTCCAATACGGTGCAGCACAAAGCACTTATGTGCATCCCGAGCGGAGAATGATGTGCTTGAAGCCACATGAAGTTACAGCGCATTGAGTCCGTATTGAAAAGTTCAAAGCACAAAGGAAATACATATTTATGAACAGTGTATTATACATTATCTATCTATGCAATAGTTTATTGAGCCTTTTCTTTTAAAGGTTTTAAATTTCAGTTACTGTGTGCGTGAAGAACAATTATAGTGCTCTGACTCTAGTGTTGTGATCTAACCGACAGCGTCCGACACCCGGTAGAAAGTAACACGATTAAGATCCAGTATAATAGGATTAACATTGAATCATTGAAGATCGTTTCATCATTGACTGTAACCGAATGTGACGTGCTGTTTGAATGCTGAATGGAGAATGACTGACAGGCGCAGAGAGGGAAAAGTTTGTGTTCTTGAATTTAATGACTTAAATATTAATTTCTATATCACATAATAGCTTCAGAACACTAATAATACAGTACACAAAAACTTTATGGTACTTTAGAAAGTTTTTGTGCCTTTGTGCCTAACAGAATAGTATATGCACAATATAGAATTTGAATCAGCCTCGTCAAAGATGGCAGTGTCAGAGCCGATACCGATCCTGAGTATCTAATCGGCGCACTTCTTTTCAACAGTCAAATTGAAATTGAAATTGCTTGAAACTCAACAGATACATCACATTTATTAGCCAGTAGACGTGCAAAGTTTCAGAAACGGGCAATGTGCAAGGACTAAATAGCGCCACCTTTTGACAAAAGTGGGGTTGTTAGTTTTATCTACAGTTACAAAAATCGGTATATACATTGTACTCCTCAAGCCGGACAACTTTCTAATACATAGTCATTAGCTCGGACCAAGAGGAAGTCAGATATTTTTGGTTTGAATATGGTGAGCCTCTCTCTGAGCCTACGTCCCTGTATGGCAAGCCCTTTTAACATTTAAAAGCTAAGTTTGCCTGTCCGGAATTAACATTGTAGATATCAACAACGTCTTTCTGTCTATTCGTAATTACATTTTGGATAGTTTGTATTATCATTTAAGACATCTGTAACATAATTGTGACTAGTCGAAATGACAGAGTATGGCAAGCCGTTTTAACATTTAATCATAAAAGGGCCAAAGCCTTCGGCACCGCTACCCGGGTGCCTTTAGGTAACTAAAGGAACCGGGGTGGCGGTGCCACCGGCTTGGGCCCGCCATCGCTGCTCGCAGCC